GATTAATGAGAAAACATAAATTTACACTATTGACAGTACTTAACTGCTAGTTATAATTTTTTTAAATAGGTATTCCTTCCTTTTCCCTGTGGACTGTGAATGAGTGAGTGGTGTTAAGACATCATTGAGAACTTTGAAATGGTTTCAGATTCTGACTTTGATGTATTGGATGATTTTAATATTCACGAAATTATAGACTTCCCAGACAAATTAGAAATGATCTATTTCATAATCTAGACAATATGACTTTTTTCCGCAGATTTACGTTGACAAAAGAGACTACATTACACCTGCTAACTTTAATTGAAGAGCAGTTGGAATATCCAAGTGACATGTATAAGTTTTACGAACACGTCGGCATGAACACGATGCAACTGGCAATCAGAATTTTGGAGTTATAAAAAGCTTTTATTCTTAAAATGATTTTGTATTTCTAGGAATAATAGTGTATCTTCTATCCAACAATTGGTTCTATGCTTGTGCTGATCATTTGTCTGCCATTGCAGACTTTTCAGAGATGGACATATCAAAAGTGTCCAGAATAATTGTACGAGTATCAATTGCATGCAATAGCTCGGCTTTATTAACTACATCTTTTATCACGACAAAGTAAATTAAGGTATTACGTTAGTTTTGAGAATTTGATTTTGACATATTTTTTTCCGAACATAACATAACATACGTTAGCAGCATAATAAAATCCCTAAACAGTATTCTTAAAGCCCAGTTTAATTTAATCTACAATGGACAAGTGATGCAAAGGCTGACTATTAAAACCTAGTTTTAAAATTAAACCAAGTTCAGTTGAACTTGGTTTAAATTCTAAACGGTGCAAACGGGCATAAACTGTTCATATATCGTAAACGGCTAATGATAGGTATGGTAACAAGGTTAACCAAATATGTTCAGAAATAAAAGGAGAACCCACAAACTTAAAAAATATACAGGGTATTCCATATAAAGAATTGAAGTTCCGCATTATACCATCTTTTTCGGGCACCTTGTATATTTTGAAAATAAATTGATTAAACGCATCTTTTTAAGCAGAAAACCTTTTCTATATAACATTTATTTCTATCTCGACTAGTTTCCGAGATAACGCATGTCAAGATAGTTCTGGGACACCCTGTATATTACGCACAAATTCTATTGGATAAAGTATCAACGTTTATGAAAAATGTCTTAGTGTAGCCTATAGGGGTTCTCGAAAATANCTGTCACAAAGTTATAAAGAATTTTTACCTATTTTATTTATTTAGGAGTATGGAAAAGGTCTGAATCATTAATGCCCGTTTGCACCGTAGTGTTTAACCCAGGATTAAGTCTGAATTTGGATTAAAATATAACATTTTGTTTGCACCATTTCAAATCTATGGATTAATCTAGGATTAATTTAAACCCTCATATTCGACCGCTTAAACTTAAATTAATGAGAAAACATAAATTTACACTATTGACAGTACTTAACTGCTAGTTATAATTTTTTTTAAATAGGTATTCCTTCCTTTTCCCTGTGGACTGTGAATGAGTGAGTGGTGTTAAGACATCATTGAGAACTTTGAAACGGTTTCAGATTCTGACTTTGATGTATTGGATGATTTTGATATTCACGAAATTATAGACTTCCCAGACAAATTAGAAATGATCTATTTCATAATCTAGATAATATGACTTTTTTCCGCAGATTTACGTTGACAAAAGAGACTACATTACACCTGCTAACTTTAATTGAAGAGCAGTTGGAATATCCAAGTGACATGTATAAGTTTTACGAACACGTCGGCATGAACACGATGCAACTGGCAATCAGAATTTTGGAGTTATAAAAAGCTTTTATACTTAAAATGATTTTGTATTTCTAGGAATAATAGTGTATCTCCTATCCAACAATCGGTTCTATACTTGTGCTGATCATTTGTCTGCCATTGCAGACTTTTCAGAGATGGACATATCAAAAGTGTCCAGAATAATTGTACGAGTATCAATTGCATGCAATAGCTCGCCTTTATTAACTACATCTTTTATCACGATAAAGTAAATTAAGGTATTAGTATTAATTAATTAGGTAAGGGACACCCTGTATATTACGCACAAATTCTATTGGATAAAGTATCAACGTTTATGAAAAATGTCTTAGTGTAGCCTATAGGGGTTCTCGAAAATATCAAGATTTATATATTTTTCTCAAAAAGTGATAAACCTTCATAAAAACTGTGAACTCTCTGTCTCTGTTAATAACCGAATACCCATGACATCAAAATGGGATGCACTGTATAATGAAGACGATCACAAATTAAGGTGCAAGTACAGTGTGCCAAGTAAATTTTTTAAGATTGTTCAAAATAACTACGACAAATGAAGACTGCCATGCACAACTAATTGTTTTTTAATATCCTGCGACTTTAAAATGCAGCAAGGCGAATTGTGTTTTACAGACAAAAAAGTGAATGTTAACATAACAACAATACGTAACTGTTTTCGCAGCATTATAACTGCACCCAAGATATTAATACTATTGGCATATCTTCGCCATCTTTCAAGGGCATCTTGTGTGTGTGTCTTAGGCGTGACTTCGACATACCACTCACTCTCTCCTCTTGTGTCATTATTATTGTGATTTAAATGAATTCATATATGCCAAGATCTTAAAAGGCTATTGTCTGTCCAGCGTCTTTCATAAAATTCCCTATGTATACGAGAATTTTTGTGTGTATGACCTTGGATAGCGATCAAGTTTATGATCCTTGTTCTAATTTTTAACAATCCAACTGTTACAGGTGTGGTAAGTGCAATGTATTTAATGAGTGATTTATTTAGAAAAAATACATAATTTCATAAAGTTACACTGAATAAAAAGGTTCTTTACAATCTTAATTTTTATTATAGATAGATCAGATTGGCGTTTTTCCAGTTTTCAAATATATTTTTGGGACTTGTTCAACGTACTTTAACTAACAAGGCACAATTTTTAATTTGAATTAGGTTGGTTTAATGAATCGTGAAATAAAAGGGTTTTCCACTTAATCAACTTTGTCTAGATTTCTTAGACACGCTTAAGAATAAATGGTTCTGTTAATGGAGAGAACATCAAAAAAACTACACTTTTTTAAATTTTTTCAACCCTGAAGTATTTTTGTAAGGAGTTGAAATACCTAATCAACCCCTATGACATTTTTTGTTATGATTTTTTCTCGATAAAATTTTTTCCTTTTAAGAAATATGTTTTTGATCTCCAAGTTTTTTCGAAAAGTTAAGGATTTATGAGAAAAAAAATAAATGTATTGCAAGGCATTTTTGAAAAGATGAGCTGTTTAACGCGAGTGTATTTTGCCAAAAGATCTAGTGATCTGTTCTTTGCAATGGAATCTACAGAAACAGATATCGGTGTCATTTATTGTTACTGTTTCTTACTCTTTCACAGGTTTTATAATTTTGTGTAGAGAATATTAGTTTTTTTTTAATTTTTTGAGGGGTATAACGGGGAGAGATTTTTAAAAAAATTTTATACCAAAAACCCCATTAATTTTCATTAGAGAATCACCTCTTACATTTTTTCGGTGTATATATACCCTGTATATCTCTTCTAATATCTTTGTATTAACTGTTATTATAAGATTCTTAAATTTTTCGGACGAATGATTATATTAAAAAATTGTACTCTACAAAAATATTTAATATATTTCATAAACGTTTTAATGTTTATAATATTGTTATTCCTTGTTAAGTGATATTGCAACATAAATTAATGTGTAACATTTCATTTTTCTACCTGAGAAAATGACAATTATTGTCGATATTGATAGATATACAGAGCTTATAGGATAAACAACAAAAATAATTTTCTGTTTGTCTATTTTTTCGGTGCCAAATTTTTGGCTATCTAGGCGAATCTGTTTTCATATTAAGTAACTCTTGACTGTTTCTTTCAGAGTAAGGGTTTATTTCAATACTTTTTATTAAAAAAACACAAGTTCAGACAATATCGTCATGTTTTTAAATCATCTATTTCTAAAGTTTTCCATCAATAATTCAGTATTTGTATATTAATGTTTTTTACCTAACAATTTTATTAAAAAGATAATCCTTATACTGCCAATTTATACAGCCGAAAGACATAGATAGCTAGATTTTTATATTTCAGTAGGTTAGTAGACCCAATAACAGCAAAAACTATAAGCCCTAATTAAAATATTTACCCAAACTTTAAATGGACGTTACAAATTAACAAAATAAGTAAGTATCTATAAACATCTGTCTGAAATTTCATAGTGTTCAGGATCACAGGGAGTCAAAAAACGTTTTTTTGGCTATAAAAGGGCGGCTGAAACGATTTCATATTTGGCATGTAGCTTCAGTTCTTAGTTACTCACAAAAGTATGCGCTTGATAATTTGTTTTTAAACACAATAACTTTGTTCTGGGGACTAACGCGGTAATGTTCTCTCCTCACTTTTGTCTTTCAATCTGTTTTTAATCTGATTCACTATTACAAATATAACAGAGGACTAAAGTCTTTACAAAAAATTATTCTTACAGTATAAATGTACAGATTTTTGGATAAAGGGTTATTATATTAGAACATGTCTAGATAAATAATTAGGTAGGTATTACTAAAGGTGCCTGAACAAATAAAGTACTATTTACATTGTTCCCCTCCACGGTGTTTTACAACATTTTCATTAACATTGGATACCCTGTATCTTAAAAATGATATGTGTTTATAACTCGCCATTAAAGTTTGGTCAAGTATTACAGTTACACCCCGTATAACTGATTAGTATTAACCATGACATCGTTTTACTTTACTAATCCAAATTTCTGAAAAAATTTTAATTGATTAGTCGTTGTATCCAATTGAGTCTGAAATGATTTGACAAGTAGTTCTTTAACCCTATCACTTCATGTATATTTTGAACCCAGCTCCCAAAATTGGTCCACACTCTGTGGAAGGAACAAAACCAGGTCGCCTCTTAGCCTACACAAAAACAAACATCTACGTACTCTCTCCGGTAGTGAAGATTTCAGGAGATGAGTAGAAGACAGATCTCACCGGTCACTGCGATGCATACACGAACTCGATGGACTTCTTCTGCACGAGCCCGATAACAGCTGGCGTTGCACTGTCGCGAAACAACAGAAGAGAGAACCTGATAGGAGATATTACCATTACCATTTCCACCGGGCGATCAGCGAACCGTGCATTTGTCTAGTTTTGCTGCGAACTTGGATTTTTCGAATCTCTTCTTGCGGCACGATTACGTAAGCGGAGCAATGGAAGGGCGAAGAGGACGCGGAAGATTCAGCACGGAAGAGAGGCAGGTGCTCTTTCTCTTTATTTGGAATAGCGATTCGTTGATTTTGGCGTTGAAGCATAACGCGTTTTTTTCTGACAAGAGGTAGAAAGAACTACCGAGAACTTTTTTAATTTCGACGCTTAGAAATTGGAATGAGCAATTTGTTTTTAAGATTATTTTATAAAATACAGTAAATAATGAGGCTGACCAGAAAATGGTATAAGAGACCAAAAGAATTCCACATCTAGGAACATAAAATAAATAAGACCCAAAATTGAAACAGAAATAAAGAAAAGGCAAAAATGGTAGAAATTAAGAATAAAAATGCACTATTTAATTATACAAGGTGGTCATTTCCTTCTTTTCTATTGATGTCCTACGAAAAAAGAATATGTACTAATAAAAAAACAATTGAAAACTAATTTAAAATGATATGACTATAATAATAAATCTTTTTCAATGTGATAGACTGTACTAGTCGTTATAAACATTGTGTCATTGATTGAAACTTTATATCTTTCATGATTTTCCGGAAAATGCCGGACCTACATTTTCTAGTCCCCTCTGGTCAGCATTTTTTTTTTTTTTGGAAATGACGGCAAATAAGAAATAGCACAAAGTCTATGACTAGTACTATTTTTCGCAAGATAATGGACCAGAAAGGATATGTAGTTTTTCTAAACGATACAAAGTTCAGAGCAACTAGCACAGTCTAGACTCTAGATCTAGAATATTGATAAATAAAATGAGTTACTTGTAAAGGGAGTTTCTGGGCAGCAGATACTTTTGGTTTTTCTATAGTTTCTGGAAAACCGTAACAAATTCATTTCAAACGCCACAAAGTTGTTAGCACAATCCGGAGTCTTTTTTAACCTCTTTGATAAAGTTGAGAACTAGCTTAACACTCGGTAATTTTTCGCAATGGAGTGCTAGAAAAAGAAAATTTCGTTTTTTTTTCAGAATTTTTGAGACACCGCGAGAGATTTTTTTTTCTCAACGACACAATATTCAGCACTAGCACAATCTAACACGTTGAAAAAAAAATTGGTTTTCGGTGCAGTGGGGTGCCAAAAAATTTTTCGCATTTTCTAGAAAACCACGACAAACGTGAAATTTTCTCAAGTAACACTTTAAAAAAATGTATATGATATTCGCAAAATGGTAGGTTATGAGGAAAATAAAATTTTTCTTATCAAAATAATTATTTATTTGCGGCACAATTATAGCACAAAGTTAAAACAATATTTAAAATGTTTTGATAATTTCAAATTACAAAGTATCAATAAACATTCGATAAAAGATTGATCAAACTGAAAATGTGATTGGCAATTTTTTTTATATAAATAATGATAATGACGCATTTCGGCTAAATGATAAGTAATGTAGACCTATCGATTAAATAATGTGTATCCCGTCTACGAGTATTAAACATTTGCAATAGGTACTTATTTTATTTTATTTTTTTTTGCAAGTTGTTGGTGAATGACCTCTAAAAGTTTTTTGATATATTTAAGAGACCGATATAAATAATAAATTAGTTATAATATTGCTGCTGATTCCGTTATAACGGCACATTCTTATTGATGGATAGATTTTGTTTAATATTAGGAGTTGTTTGTTTTTATATAAAAAGTGATAAAAATACGTGCATGGCAATTTATAACAGCAAACGAGATCTTAAAACTATTCAGTAGATATTTCTACTTAACGTTCCAAATTAATGTAAAATAGATATACATACAGTGTATCCTATTAATCATGAATTAAACGATACAGTAGTTGTTCATGATATTCAACTTGTAATTAACTGTTTGCCAATTGAAAAACAATTTCTTAAACATGTTCCTACAAAATATGTCTTCACAAATTTTATAAATAAGCTTGTATAACCATATCACAGACAAAGTAGCTATCGCCCCAGACCGCTACTGGAATAGGCCAGCAGTTTTAAATTTCCAAATTGCCGGTAGAGTACACCACCAGCAGAATTTTATGAAGAATCAAATGCAGCGGCCCGCATTCCTACGCGTATCCTAGCAACATTATAAACAACACTTTGGCAATGTTTCCAGGCGTACTTACGGATTTATTTTGTACACTTTTTTATCAATATATTATGTTTTTTGCGTTACTGTATTTACTTAGTGTAAATGTATGATGTAGGTATTGATAAAAATGTTTTAAAAAATCAGCGAATATCTATGTAGTTTCATATGATATTCTGCAGTGGTCTCACAGTTAGGTTACTTAAATTAAACATAATTTCGTTTACTACTATTTTCATTTTTTGGTATTGAAATACTGCGGAAAACATATTTCCAAATAAACATTTTTTTTTGTAATTTGATTTAATAATTAAAGACAGAAAAAAAAACTTTTTCTTTATTTCTTTTGACATCAAAATTTGCTGGCATAAAATATATGTTTAAAGTAAAAAAAATCATTAAAAATTTAAAATTCATGTTTATCGAAATAATAAACAATGATGTTTATAACTAATCTTTACAACAACATAAGGAGAATACCTAAAAACGAAATAACATTAAAATATCTACAAATTTTACAAATTTTCAACATGCAAGTAATTGTGATGATACAGTGGAAGATACGCTTTAATATTCTATTTATTGCTTTTAAAACAAATTCAGAATTATCAAACATTTCCTCCTGTATTTTTTCTTTAAATACTTGTAAATTTTAAGGTCTTCAATAATATATTTTGTTAAAGTGTCCCCACAAAAATATATCTAAAGGACTGAGATCAGGGCTGTTTTCTGGCCACCTAAGGTTTCTAATAATATTCTTTACAGTGTCGTTGATGGGATTCGTCTTCCAAAATAAATTTTCCCATATTCTTGCTGAATTATTACACATTATTGTTACGTTATTTGAATAAAGTTTAATTATGTTTTATTTTTCGTCATCAGTATAACCCAATTTAATTTTTTTAAATGAAAATTGGTTATTCGGGCAATGATAAATCCCATGTATTTTTAAAGGAAGGTTTGTTTATGTCGTTTTTGTCTGATTGAACGGTGTGTTGAATCAAAAAATAATTGAAAAAATCTCCCGAAGATAATATTCTTAAATAAATTTTACATTTTTAAATTGTTTTGAAATAAATAATCAATTTGGTAAATTCATAGTTTTAATTCTAACTTAATTTATTTTATTTAGCATTTAACACAAATG